TTTCCTGTGATTTGCTCAACACTCTTAAGGCTGCAGTTTTGTCTTTCGCCTGAATCACCTCAACAATGGACACTACCCCCCCTTCCTTTATTGGCCAAAATGCCCCTATTATGCATTTTTGTGCATAATTCCTGCTCTGGGATGATTATTTGTGTCCCCCTCAACTCATATGTTGAAACCCTAACCCCCAGTGTGATGGCACTGGGAAATGTTTAGGCTATGAAGGTGGAGTCCTCACAAATGGGATTATAAAAGAGATCCCACAGGGGCACCTGGATGGCTCAGTCCATTAAGAAGTCAACTCTTTTTCTTTTTTTTAAGATTTATTTGAGAGAGAGAGTGCATGAGCACAAGTGGGAAGGAGAAGCAGACTCCCCATTGAGCAGGGAGCCCAACACAGGGCCTCATTCCAGGAACCTGGGATCATGACCTGAGCTGAAGGCAGATGCTTAACCAACTGAGCCACCCAGGCACCCTAGTTGTCAACTCTTGATTTTGGCTCAGGTCGTGATCTCCAGGTCCATGCTCAGCACGGAGTCTACTTGAGGATTCTCTCTCTCCCTCTGCCCCTCCCCCCACCCAAATAAATAAATAAATCTTTTTTAAAAAGAGAGAGGGGACAACTGGGTGGCTCAGCAGTTGGGTGTCTGCCTTGGGCTGAGTGCGTAATCCCAGGGTCTTGGGATTGAGTCCTGTATCGGGCTCCCAGAGCCTGCTTTTACCTCTGCCTCTGTCTCTGCCTCTCTGTGTCTCTCATGGATAAATAAATAAAATCTTAATAAAATAAAGAGAGAGAGAGAGAGAGATCTCACAGAGTTCGCTTATCCCTTCCACCATGACAAAGCAATGAACAAGGAAGGGGACTCTCACCAGAAAATGACCATGATGCCATAGACAGCACTCCATCTGGTCTTAGGGTTAACTTGCTTCAAGTGAACATACTCTACTTGCTGACCTAAGGCCCTTGACCTGTAACATAACTAATTTCCTTGCCTTGAGATTTACAGGCCGCTCGCCTTAAAGAATGAAGAACCAGAACTTTCCCAGGGCACAAAGGCTATAATATCATACATATAATATATATAATTAAAAAACATATATATACATATATATATATATATATAATGGAAAATTACTGAACATAAAAAGGAATGAAATCTTGCCATTTTCAACAACATAGATGGATCTAAAGGGTATAATGCTAAGTGAAATAAGCCAGTCAGACAAAGACAAATACCATATAATTTCACTCATCTGTGGAAATGAAGAAACAAAACAAAGAAAGAAAGAAAAAGAGACAAGCAAAAAAACCAACTCTTAAATATAGGGAACAAACTGGTGGTTGCCAGAGGGGAGTTGGGTAGGAGATGGGAGAAACAGGTGATAGAGATTAAGATTACACTTATCATGATAAGCACTGAGTAATGTATAAAATTGTTGAATCATGGGTCACCTGCATGGCTCAGTTGGTTAAGTAGCTGACTCTTGGTCTTAGCTCGGGTCTTTTTCTTTAAGATTTTTAAAATTTGGGGATCCCTGGGTGGCGCAGCGGTTTGGCGCCTGCCTTTGCGTGACCCGGGATCGAGTCCCACATCAGGCTCCCAGGGCATGGAGCCTGCTTCTCCCTCTGCCTGTGTCTCTGCCTCTCTCTCTCTCTCTCTCTCTCTCTCTCTCTCTATCATAAATAAATAAAAAATTTAAAAAAAAGATTTTTAAAATTTATTTGACAGAGAGCCGAAGCAGGAGAAGCAGCAGAGGGAGAGAGAGAAGCAGACAGCCTGATACGGAGCTCTATCCCAGGACCCTGGGATCATGGCCAGAGCCAAAGGCAGATGCTTAACTGACTGAGACACCTAGGCATCCTTCAGCTCAGGTCTCGATCTCCGGGTCATGCGTCTGGGCCCCACATGGGGCTCCACACTAGTCATGAAGACTACTTTTAAAAAGAAGAAGAAGAATTGTCGAATTGTTATGTTATACACTGAAACTAATATAACACTGTATATTAATTATACTGGAATTTAAAAATAAATATGTATTTTTAAAAAACTAGTGCCTCCCAGTGCAAATCAAAACCACAATGACATACCATTTTAAAACTACTAGGATGGGGGCCCCTAGGTGGCTCAGGCAGTTGGGCATTGGGCTCTTGATTTCAGCTCAGGTGATGATCTCAAAGTCGTGAGATCAAGCCCCATATTGGCTGTAGAGATTACTTAAATAAATAAAACATTTTTATTTATTTTTTTAAATAAAACATTTTTAAAAAGAAATATATATAATGGAATATTATTCAGCCATGAACAATAATGAAATTTTGAAGTATGTGATCATATGAATGGACCTTGAAAACATGCTTGGTGAAATGAGCCAGACACAGAAGAACAAATATTAGATTATTCCATTTACATGAAGTACCCAGAATAGTTAAGCTCATAGGACAGAAAGTGGGATAGAGTGACTAGGGGAGAAAAGGGAGAGTTATTGTCTAATGGGTAGATAGTTTTAGTGGAACATGATGAATAAGTTTTAGATATACATAACAGTAATGGTAATTACATTACATTATTAATGTATTTAATGCCACTGAACTGTACACTTATGAATGATAAAAACAATAAACATTATGTTATGTATATTTAACTGCAATATTAATTAGTTGATTGATTGATTGGCAACTCCCAAAATTTTGTCATTTTTGCTTTTGTTGTTGCTTTTTTTTTTTTTTTACAGGAAAAAGCTATAAATAGAAATGTACTGGGATCCCTGGATGGCTCAGCGGTTGAGTGCCTGCCTCCATCCCAGGGTGTGATCCTGGAGTCCCGGGATCGAGTCCCACATCGGGCTCCCTGCATGGAGCCTGCTTCTCTCTCTGCTTATGTCTCTGTCTCTCTCTGTGTTTCTCTCATGAATAAGTAAATAAAATATTTTATTTTATTTTTTTAAATAAAATATTTAAAAAAGAAATGTATTACCTGAAATGTAGGGACTTGGATATCACAGATTAATACTACAGTCTGTGATCGTGCAAGTATTCATTACACAAGCATTTATTGAATACCTAGTGTGTGCAAAGCATACACCATGTTAGGAACTTAGGGAAGAAGGGTACAAAAATAAATGAGTTTCAGATTGTGCCCTGAAGATAGAATTGTTATATTTAGCAAATAAAAACAAAGGATTGCCCAATTACATTTGAAGTTCAGGTAAACAACAAATATGATATCCCATGCAATATTAGGAATGTCCTTTTACTAAATGTTATTCATTGCTTATGTGAAATCAAAATTTCACATAATGAAATTTGTGAACTTTGTGAAATTTGTGAATGTCCTGCACTCTGATGGAAGAAGTTTGTATTCTGGTGATTGTAAATGTCTTATTTCCCTAATTGGATGACAAAGTACAATGAGCTGAGCATCAAAAGGTCAAGGGCTGTGGGAATTTGGAGGTAGAAATTATATTTAATTGTAAATGGTCTGATATTTTGTTTTTTTTTTAAGATTTTATTTATTTATTCATGAGAGACACACAGAGAGAGGCAGAGACATAGGCAGAGGAAGAAGCAGGCTCCATGTAGGGAGCCCAATGTGGGACTCAATCCCAGGACCTAGGGATCATGATCTGAGCCAAAGGCAGACATTCAACCACTTAGCCACCCAGGTGCCTCAATGGTCTGCTATTTTAGTATGTACAAATATATGTGAAGTTACTAAGTGGAGAAAACAGGGCTATTTTCAATACTTTGTTTTTCTTCTGCCCCTCGCTTTTTTGTTTACTCAACATTATTGCTGCTCCACATCCATCCGACAGATATTTGAGAAAAACTTTCCTGTTCCCAGAACTGCTCCAGGCACCAAGGGCAGACAGACATTGTCCTGCCTTCATGGAGTTCAGTTTGGTGGGGAAGACAGGCAACAACAGAAAAAAGTCAAAGAACAGAATTACTTGAGATAGTGATGAGAACTATACAGAGACGATGGGCTGAGTGTGGTGGTGTGTCAGGGACTCCGGAAAGGGCACTCTGAGGAATCGACCTTGGGTGGAGACTTCAATGGTGTACAGTTGCCTGCCATGCACATGTGCCAGGGAAAAGTACTGCAGGCAAAGGGAACAGTAAAAATCCGGAAGCAGAAACAAAAACGAAGTCAAATGCCTGGGGCATAATTACATGTCGTACATTATCATTAAACAATTGCTTATTCTATAAGAAATAGTGAAAGGGACCATAAGAGAAAGGAGGGGAAACTGAGTGGGGGGAAAAATTAGAGAGGAAGACAAATCATAAGAGACTCCTAACTCTGGGAAACAAACGAAGGGCTGCAGAAGGTAAGGAGGGTCGGGGGATGGGGTAACCAGGTGACAGGCACTAAGGACGGCACATGATGGGATGAGCACTGGGTATTATACTATATGTCAACAAATTGAATTTAAGTAAAATTTTGTAAAAAGTTAACCGAGGATGAGTTTAGAGGGATAGAAGATGAAAGAGGCAACAGGGTAGCGAGAGTGTATGTATGTTGAGCAAGTGGAAAGGTTGCAATTTTAGAAAAGGATGTCCAGGTAAGGGCTTCCTGAGAAGGAGGCATCTGTCAAATGGTAATACAGTGTCTATTTCTTGGGCCTGTAGCGAAGATCCAATAAGAAAATGCACGGATTCATAGAAAAAGAAAGACCTTTGATAGGCCCAAAGTGGACCCAAGAGACTCCTATGGAAAGATGCCCGCCTGAAGCTCACAAAAGGGGAACGCAGTCACGGCGGAGTGGTGATCCAGATGGACGTGGCCCCAGACGGAAGGGCGATCCCGCTGAAAATCCGCCCCGGCGGAAACGTTCGCCAAGAAGGACGGTCGCCGCGGGAGGAGCCCCAAGCGCCCGGGGCGTCTGGTTACCCTGGCAACAGCGCGCGCTGGGTGGGCGGAGCCAGCGGCGGAAGGAGGCGCGCGGGCGGGGACGGAGGCGGGGCTTTGGGCGGAAGTGCGCTCTCCGCCGCTGCGGCCCGAGAAGATGCTGCGCCCCGTGTGCTGGTGGCTGAGCTTCGGCCTGGGGAGCTTCCTGGCGGGGCGGGCGGAGGCCCCGAGCCCCGCAGAGCCACCGGAGCGGAGCCGGCCCTACGCGGTGCTGCGCGGGCAGAACCTGGGTGAGCGGCGGGGGCGGGGCGGGGGCTGGGCGGGGGCTGGGCGGGGGCTGGGCGGGGGCTGGGCGGGCGGGGCGTGCCTCGCAGTGGGCTCCCTGCACCTGCGCGGTTGCTTCAGTGACCTGGCGGCCGGGCCCCTCTTCTCTGGCGGCGTGGGCCCAGGCTGGGCCACAAGGGTCCTTTAATGAGAGAGCTGAGAATTGCAGCCCTGATTTGAAGGTGAAAGTGAAACTCAGGGAGGTGAGGTTACCTGCCCCCGTGTACACAGCTAGGATAGCGGTGGAGGCCGCGGCTGGTACCTGTCAGCCTACTTTTCGGACGTTCTCGTTATTCCCCTTCGCTCCTACGAAAAGACCCGAATGAGTATCTGTTTTCGGTAACCTAAAGAAACCCGAAGAGGATTTTTCCCTTTTGCGAAAAAAGTGAAAAGAGCGCTCAGCAGGTTTTTTTGCGTTACACACCCGGAGCAGCGAGAGTGGCTCCACCAAACTCAGTCCGCGAGAGCTGCACCCGGCATCTTAGCATCACGGCGTATAGCTTTGACATGTGTCTGTGTCTGTTCCTGTTCTCGATTTTTTTTAAGATTTATTTATTTATTCATTCATTCATTTATTTATGAGAGAGAGAGGCAGAAGCAGAAGCAGGCTCCATGCCGGGAGCCCTACGCGGGACTCCATTCGGGGACTCCAGGATCGCGCCCTGGGCCAAAGGCAGGCGCTAAACCGCTGAGCCACCCAGGGATCCCCTCCTGTTCCGGATTTATTCTGGGTATCCTCCCTTAGCTAAATGTGTCTTAAGGTACCAGAAAACCCTGAGGTTATTTTGGGGGTCTGGGAAGGCCAAAATTTTTTCCTTGCAAATTAATGGTAACTTTTTTCACTTTATGCCATTTCTGCTTACTAAAGGTTTCATAGGCACAGGATGTTCAGTGAACATGGGAAACCAGTACTAGACCTTGGGTTTTGTGGAGCTTGAAACGTACCTTTTGGGAGGAGCTCTAAAAGACACATGTATATACATATGGGTACTCCTTGCATACATGGCTTTGGAAGGGGTCTTGGAGCTTAAAGTTTGACAAAATTCACAGTAACCCTCCCTCTCATTCTGCCAAAGCTGCCCTTTCCACTGTACCTCATTGATACATGTACCTCATTGATAACATGTGTATCTCTATGCCATGAAGTGTCATTTTTGCATTATCTTGACTCTACATGAACTCATGAACTCTTGTATTGAATTTATGTATTGAGGGCAGCCTGGGTGGCTCAGCGGTTTAGCTCAGCAGTTTAGCGCTGCCTTGGGCCCGGGGCATAACGCTGGAGACCAGGGATCCCATGTCCCATGTCAGGCTCCCTGCATGGAGCCTGCTTCTCCCTCTGCCTGTGTCTCTGTCTGTCTCCTCTCTCCATGTCTCTATGAATAAATAAATCTAAAAAAAAAAAAAAAGAATTTATGTATTGAGCACTTACTGTGTACCTAGCACCCTGCTGAATGATTTCCACATGCTCTACTACTCCATCCTTTGGAGCAGTTTCTCCACCAGGGTACTACTGACATGGTGGACCAGATGGGTCTTTGTGGGTGAGGTGAAGTGAGGCACAGTATCCTGAGCATTGTAAAACGTTGAGTGGCATCTGCGGCCTTTATCTGCTAGATGCCAGGACCACACTTAACTCCCTGTCTGGATAATCAGAATATCTGAAGACATTATCAGATGTCCACTGGGGGCAAAATCCCCCTGGTTAAGAACCACTACTGCAGAACAATACTATTCGAAGAGTGGTCTGGGGGGACACCTGGGTGGCTCAGCGGTTGTGTCTGCCTTCGGCTCAGGGTATAATCCCGAGATCAGGATCAAGTCCGCCATCGGGCTCCCTGGGGGAAGCCTGCTTCTCCACTCTGCCTATGTCACTGCCTCTCTTTCTGTCTCTCTCTCTCTCTTTCTGTCTCTCAAGAATAAATAAATAAATCTTTAAAAAAAAAAAAAAAGCGGTCTGCAAACCGATGGGGTGTCCATACTATTTACCTGCAAAGAAAGGACCACAGACATTAAATGTTTAGGGATTTAACAGTTTGACACTGTTGCAACATCCAAGCAAGTAGACACCAATCCTATAGGAGTCCCTGGACTGACAAGGACTGCTTACTAGTCATGCCCATAGTAATGGCCCGGGACAGGCTACAAGCTATAAACACTAGTCCTTTACCACAGATAGTTTGGGAAACACTACCCTACACCATCCTGTGCAGTGGGTGTTTTTGTCTCTGTCTTTACAGAGGAGGAAACAGAAATTGTGGAACTTAGGTGAGAACACAGCCTGTCAGTATAGATAGGAACCCAGAGAGTCTAACTCCAAACCCTGAATTCTTGACCACTGTGCTGTGCTGCCAGTTTTGGTCATAATGCCTTCATCTATCATGTGCATGTTATATATCCACACTCTAATAAGTGCTTTTCATAGGGTACCACAGTCAGATTTCAGGAAACCCTTGTGAGGTGGGTTTCATTTGCCACTTGTGTAGATGTAGGAAATGAAGCTCAACGATGGGAAGTGACTAGTAAGGAAGGACCTAACTAGTCTTAGGTTCAGCCTGAGCCTGCCATTCAGGCAACTAATACCGTGTGCAAAGTGTGGGAGAGGTAAAAAGATGAAGGCTGGGAGAATTTATCAATCCCCACATGGACATTATGTACCTAACAACCCGTGATTTTAAGCCTTTTCAAATGCTTTTTGAGGTTCCATTCTCCACTTCTAGTCCCCTGCATACCTGCTTTGGGAGTTTGCTTGGGTTTTGGGAGGCGGTGTTTTCTTAAGAGCCCTTTCAGAATGTCAAATGCAAGAAAGTGGCTTAAAAGGAATAAGGCAAAAAAAAAAAAAAAAAAAAAAAAAAGGAATAAGGCAGGGATCCCTGGGTGGCGCAGCGGCTTGGCGCCTGCCTTTGGCTCAGGGCGCGATCCTGGAGACCCGGGATCGAATCCCGCGTCGGGCTCCCGGTGCATGGAGCCTGCTTCTCCCTCTGCCTGTGTCTCTGCCCCCCCCCCCCGTGTGACTATCGTAAATAAATAAAATAAAATAAAAAAAGGAATAAGGCAACTTGAGATCCATTGCAGTGAGAACCTTAGAAATTCATAGAATTCAAGATTTGGATTTTAAGGGCAGGTATTTAGGTAACAAGGCCTGTTTTGAGATGGGACATTTAGCGTGTATGAGTTGTAGGTTGTCTTTGTCACTTCCTGTGTTCTTTCTTTCCCTTCCTCACCAAAAAAAGTTTTTCTGTATGGTCAGTGTTTAAGTAATAACTGGGTTCCATGTGGGGGCATTCTGTAGGAGTCACAGATATCTCCAAATTACTGATTTAAGCAAAACAAAACTGTGGTCAAATCCTTTGTTTCAGTAGCCACACTAGAGAACAGCCATGGTTAGGCTCCCACTGGAACCTGGGATGGGCCCACATCCTTGCAAACAAATGTACATTTGCTTGCTAAAAGGTAACATTTTGAACTCTCATAAGAGCTCTGAGGCAGTCACAGAAATGGGACTGCCCTTCACTTCATTGGGTTGCTGGTTATGTTAAAACCCCAGTCCTTGTGTCTAGTCTTGTACTGAGGCTCAACCAGAGTGATCAGTTGGAGGTCCCAGTTCTCACCTGAGCACTCTGGAGATTTTAGACGTGAAATTTACTCCAAATTGTCTCCAGAACAGATTTGTGACGTTAGTTCATTGCTTCTTGGATTAGAAGGCCTTTGTCTCATCCAGAGATTGAAATGCTTTACTCTTTTTTTCATCTCCAGTTTTAATGAATGGCTTTAAAAACGTTGGGTTCCCTGCTTCTGTTTTTGTCCCCTGCAGTCAGATGGTTCTCCATACAGCAGCCAGAGGGATCTGTTTTCCCAGCTGAATCAGATCATGTCATTCTTTGCCTTTGGCCCTCTCTCTCAACTTAGAATAAATCCATGTTGCCTTCATGGTTTACAAGGCCCTGGATGAACTGGCTCCAGTCTTCCTCTGGCTTCATTTCCTGCCTTGCTTCCTTCCCCCTCAGCTATGCTTGCCTCTTTTCACTGGGCTTGCCTCTTTTGTCTTTCTGGGCTTGTCTGGCCCTGAGTGCTTTCTTTTGCTGACCTGCAGATCTTCCCATGGCTGGCTCCCTCTTTTCATCTTGGTCCCAGCTTGCATATTACCTCCTCAGATGCTTTCTCTACTGCCCTACCTATTATTACCCACCCCCCCCATCACCGTCACATTTCTTCAACCCCCAAAGATGCTCTCACTTGTTTACGTCTCTTCCCCCATGTATGTGGAAACATCCCAAGAGAAAATCTGTTTGTGACCATTTCCCACACACCTGGTGCTGTGCCTGGCACTGAGTGGCATTTGGCAAATCATCATCAATGAGTAGATGAAAGACAGGACCTGAAGCTGCCATTAGGAGATAACATGTTTTCCTTTTGCAGTGTTGATGGGAACCATTTTTAGCATCCTGCTGGTGACTGTGATCCTTATGGCATTTTGTGTCTACAAGCCCATTCGGCGTCGGTGACAGCCAAGCAAACAAGTTCTTCCACAAGTACTGGAGAAAAGATCAATTGTGTTGCACGTGGGTCATTGGAGAAGTTGGACTCAGAACTCTGCCACTTGGAAGTCCGACCACTTCAGTCTGGACAGTTGGTAAATGTGAAATGATTTAGAAAAAACATTAGGTAGTTTTTTTTTTTTCCTAACACTGTAATGTAAGTAACTGGGTCTGCCTCTTAGTGTTTCTTTGTATATCTGGCTACATTCAACACTTGTTACACCTTAAGACCTGAAGCTCCCACTTTCAGTGTAAAGATGGGAAAGCAGTTAACTAACTATGTGAGTGGTGTGAAAACTACACAGGAAAGGACTAATCCTGAATGTTGGAAAATATTCATAAGAGGAAGACTTAACATGTAGACATTCTATACTGGAGACCCATTTGGTCACAGTGGGGTTAAGAATCACATATGTTTTTAGTTACATTGAGTTGGCTTGGAATGCCCTCCTTGCAAAGCTGTGTCAGCTGTGGGGAACTTGGGCCACCACTCCTCATGCTGCATGTGGCTCTGTACTCCAGTGCCCCCAGTGAAGTCAGGGTCACATCAGGTAGGCCTATGACCATGAGCACCCTGGGGTTGGAAGGCTCTGAGTTGGACTAGAAATGTGACTGAGAAAGAACTCCATCCTGCTGAAACACGTTGATCTTCCTGGGGCTGCACTCAAGCCTTTCCAGCCCCTGGCCTAAAACATGTGGCAGCTTTTCAGATTTAGAATCTAAAAGAAATTCAGCAGGAACTCTTTAGCCCTGGGTGAGGAGGTCCTCAGAAGTATATGTTCTGGTAGGAGACCGAGTGGCAGGTGGGTGTGTGTTTACACAGATTTCATCTCAACCTTGAAAATGCTGCTGTTTTGCAATGTTGAACTGGATTTTTTCTTTCCTATTGAAATGATACTTTTGTACTTACAAAGTGGTTGTTATCAGTATTTATTTTAAAGATGCTAGGTTTAATTTGTTATTAAATTGAAATGCTTATCTTGTATTCCGTTCAGTAACTGCACTGACTTTTTTTTTAACACCCTGCACTGAATGTGAAACAAATTAACGTGGGATACTGTAACTGTTGAACTTATGGATTTTGTGTGTAACCCTAACATTGAGCCATTGAAGTGTTCACTGTTTTGTGCTTTGCGCCAAGTGTCAATTAAAATTAAAGTAAAATCTTACATGCTGTTTGACTCTCGGGGATTGTTTTTTTAAGATTTTATTTATTTAGTCATGAGAGACACAGAGAGAGGTAGAGACACAGGCAGAGGGAGAAGCAGGCTCCACGCAGGGAGCCCAATGTGGGACTGGATCCCAGTACTCTAGGATCACACCCTGGGCTGAAGGCAGGTGCTAAACCACTGAGCCACTCAGGGATCCCCTGGTGATTATTTTCTAAGCATCTAAAATGCAGGTGTGTGTTGGCATTTGATCTACTCTCTCAGAGAAGCGCCGAGAAGTTAAATTTTTTTTTTAAGATTTTATTTATTCATGAGAGACACAGGCAGAGGGAGAAGCAGGCTCCATGCAAGGAGCCCAACGTGAGACTCGATCCTGGGTCTCCAGGATCACGCCCTAGGCCAAAGTCAGCACTAAACTGCTGAGCCACCCAAGCTGCCCAAATTTTAAAATTTATGTGTGAAATAAGACAGTTGCCCCAAGGCGTGAGATATTATTTCGGAGACTGAGCCGTAAGTAACCTCCCAGGCCAGCCCAAGGGTCTGAAGACCTGGATTCCTGTCTCCACTCTTAACTACAAACAGGCTTAACTTCTCCAGAGCCTCAGTGTTTTCATCTGTAAAGTGGTGCTATACACTCCTTATCTTTCTTAATTATGGTGAAGATCAGATACCGTGAAACCAATACCACCAGGGTGGGGTCGCCATCTTTGGCCTGTCCCTTAAAAGACCGTAGTTATTGATGGACTGCAGGGAGGAGGAGCAGGTGGGATTCTGAGAAACTGGCAGTGACAGCCAAGTCCCAAGAGTGCACAGCCCCACCTCATCTGGAGTGCCATGTTTTGATACACTGCCTAAAAATGTATTGCCATTTTTAGGATTTTAGAGAGGAACAGTAAAAACTTGGTAGGCCCATAAACCAACCTGGTAACCTACTGTTTGCTCAGGAATCACTATGCATTTTACTTTTCTGAAACAACCTTGTGATAGTTACTCCATATGCAAATCCAACACCCAGCCTACCTCTTCATTCCAATGTTACCGTCTGTTTAGTAGGAGATTTCAAGCTAAAGTCAGGCAGAGTAATCTGTGTAGAAAAAGGCTTATTGTAGAGATGAGGAAGGGCACAAACCTCAATTCTGGGAAGAGAGAATTCTAAAAACGTTTATGCACCAGAGACTGACTAGTACTTTTCACGTGGCATTATTTTACCTTCATCTCTGGGAATATGGGGTATGGGGGCAGCCTAAACCTCATAAAATGAACTGTGCTCCGAATATTTACCGTGTACCCAAATGAACATATTCACTTCATTTATACCAGTCATGCAAATGACTTAGCATTAATCTTCACTTTCTTTAAATTTGAGATTAATAAATCTGCAAGTGCTTTTTGGGATCTCGGGGCTCAGGAAGTCTTAATTTTTTTCAGCTGGACCTCAATCTGAAATCCACACATTTCCAGACATGGGCCTAGTTTGGATTTTGAACCCCATCACTTAACTGCATGTACTGCAAATAGTCCCGTAAAGCAGTTGTCACACAACTTGTCCTCCTTGAAGTCTTCTGTGTTCAGCAACAAATTGGTTGTTACAGTAAATCTCTTTCCCATCATTTAGATTGGACTTCCCTTCCTTGACAGGCAGACACCTCGTGTTAAGTGTGGCGTATTGGACATGCTCATGGTGCAGTGTCAAGCACTTTGTTAGACTTGGTTCCTAGTAATGTCTTATAGAAATGGCTCAGTTTCCTGCTGATAACTGAACCACCTAAACTTTAAGGAACCTAAAGGTGAAGAAGCTATAGTTCCTTATTCCATCTCTTGGCCTAAGGTGACTGAGTTTTCTTCATTATGCCCCACTGGCTTAGAGTATTGTGTACTTTCCCCCAAAGCATAGCAACTCCCTCACATCTTCCTGGAAATGCCAAGGCGTCATTTCTGGAGCCCAGATGTTTTTTTACTGGTCACTGCTTCCTTTTTGTTTGTTTTTTTTTTTAGATTTTTTTGAAATTGAAATAGCACAAGTTGGGTGAGGAACAGAGGGAGATGGACTCCCCACTAAGCAGGGAGCCCAGCACAGGATTGAATCCTAGGACCCCGGGATCATGCCATGAGCAGAAGGTAGACGCTTCACTGACTGAGCCACCTAGGCAACCCTCTCCCCTTTTTTGTTTTAATACCAATGTAATTGGGTGTAGGATAAATCTGGAAGCCTAATTATCACCTGAACTTGTAAGAAAAGCCTCACAAGGACTTTACCCTCAGAGAGGAGAGCAGATTCCGTCCCACGAGAGATATGATGTTGGTGTGGCTTCCTGGACTCAAGAGGCAGCAGGATGACTGCCGTCTCCCAGCAGCCCTGATGCTGGCTGGCTTTTTGTTTCTTGCGTGAAACAAGTAGCATGGTGTGTGCAGATTGTATGACCCAGGTGGGAAGACTGAGAGGAGCAGGTCACCTTTGTAATACATGCAGAGTGTTGCGAGGCACTCCCATGTGCCAGTCACATACATAACAGGAAGTATGGGGACATTCAGTGACTAGAAAAACCACATAAAAAGGAAAAAAGACTAAAAGGCTGTCTAGGATATTGTACAAGTACCCTCTTGGGAAGCAATCTTTATTTGCATTTTAAGAGAGTGAAAACATATATGAAAAACGCTGCAACAGTGGACACAACACTCAGTCCCTTTTAACTGGCTTCCTGGGGAGTCCAAGACCTCAGTAAGCAGGACAATGGAATGCAAACATAGAAATCATTGATGATACACCTCAGTGTGTAAACAATGTGGCCTGACTGCAGCCATTCCCAAGAAGTGTCTTCACTCAGGGTAAACACAAAGTAAACAGAATGCCAAGCTGTGTATTTGAAACAAACGTGACACCACAGTATACTGGCCTTGTGTGCGCAATAGAAGGAATTCTGTCTGGTTGGACCATGACATAAAAGGCAGATGGTTATGTGGAATCCAAAGCACAAATCTCTGTGACTAAGAATATTTTACTGGCAACACTAACTGGAGGATACAGATGCTAACTGCAGGGTAGCTTCTGTCTCTTCCTATCCTGAAAGCAGCAGAGCAGATAGGAGACAGATGCAGAGCTGAGGAGGCCATTGTTACCAGGTTATGTCAGTGCAGCCTGTGGGAACGAATAGATGGGCCAGAGTGAGGGCGCCCTCAGCTCTCCTCCCCGGGATCTTCCGTGTGGTGTGCGGTGCTTATTTACAGAAGGGTCAGATAAAATCGTTGAACTACTAAAGGTATCCAAAAAAGGCCTGAGAAAATCTGGTTAAAATGTATAACCTTGTATTGCTACTGATGGGAGTAGTTGTTTTTTATATCTTTCAAAAATAATAAAAAGATTCTGTTAAAAAATATATTTATCCAGAAAGATGTTGATTTGAACTCTAAAAAGCAATACAGAATCCTCATTTTCCCTTTTGAATACAGAGCTATTGAGTTCTGCTTGTAGCTCCCTTTCTAACTACAAGGTCACCCCTTCCTCTCTAGTGAACCTAGGCCTGTAGTGGGGTCTTCCTAGGCCTCTCCATGGCAATCTGTCACTACGGAAGGCGTGGAACATACTTGGTTTGGTTCCGTGCTGTCCAATGTTTTGGCCAGCCTGCCCGCTTCGAGAACAAGCCTCAGGCTCTCCTAGCTGCTCCTTCAGGGCCAGGATTAGCTGCCTTGGATTTAGCCTGGAGGATCCTGCTCTCAAAGGAACGGCCTTTATAAATTCAAATCAGACCCCTCAGTAAGTGGAGTGAGGTGGTTTGAAACTATTGGTAATTTTTAAGGCTAAGGCAACATCCGTGGTCATTTGTATATCCTAATGTGATGCAAGTAGTTAAGCCTAATCTAAAACATATCCTGTACATGTCTCCTCTTTAACTCTAGCTGGGGATGGGAGGAGTGGAGTAAGGTGGAGGAGGAGCAGTGATGGTGTTCTAGAAACCCTGTATAAAGGTAAAAACAAAAGAGTAGATCGGCACAGATTATCCATTTCTTTGGTGAACTGTAAAGAAGTGCCTCATAGATTCTCATAAACCATGCTCTAAAAAGGCTGCAGCTCTCATATAAAAGCACCCTGACTCTGCAATAACTTGTTTTGTTATCACTCCTTGATAAAAATTAATCTACAAACTTGCGGGGATTGGGGTGTTTGTCTAAAGCTGGTAGTAAGAACGTGACCTGCAAGCCAATACAGCTAATGGAAAGTGACAATGCTCTCCTCCCCTTAGCCTGGAGGCAGGGCGCCTGCCAGTCCCCAGACCCTGCCCCCCGCCCCCCGGGGAGTGTCGTGGATGGGCCTGGGAGTTCCTGGTCTTGCACCTCTGTGTAAAAAAAGGGCAGCTGCTGTCTGCTGCATACATGCGAAGTGCGGTCCCTCAGCCCCGGGGCACTAGTAATGCAGCACTCCCGTGCAGCCTAGAACCTCTGCTTTGTGCAGCCCGTGAGCATGAGCAGAAAGGTCTATTTCTCAGTGAGAGACAGCTGTAAGACTTGCTGGAGCTCCTCCTCCTCCTCCCGGAGCCGGAGCTCCCGCTCCTCCAGCTCTCTGGCAGAGAGCTCCATGGCCAGCTGCAAGTCGCTGTCAAAACGGCTCATCTCACTCGAGACACCAGGGCACAGACCTTCTGAGCTGGTGAGCAGGCTCTCCTGGATGGCCCTGTGATGGAAAAAAGCGGAAAGAAACCAATGACCAGCATCATCAGGCCAGCGGCAGCGTCCACATATAACCGCTCACAAAGAGCATACCACACCAGGCACTGGATGTGCACTCCATGGGCACACTACCATTCAATCCCATAGGACTCTAGAGGTGTGGGTGCTGCGCACACGTGAGATACTCAAGGCTCAGAGAGGTGAAGAAACCTGCCCAGGGTCACCCAGCTGCTAAGTGATGGTATTAGGAACTGAACTTGGATCTGTTTTAAAGCAAAATCCAAGTTGTTCTTCAATAAGCTTGCACATATGCCTGGAGTATGTGAAAATACTT